AGCTAATCCAATATCTTGAACTTCAGAAAATATGGTTATTCATAAGACTTTCATGATGTATATACCTTAAAACGTTTAGCGTATTGGAATTCAGTTCATTCATTTCTGTCCTGTGCCCTTATGTTTTAGAAACCACCAAGAGTAGTCTGGTTATTTGATGTGCCATGAGTTACCACATAGTTATTCAATCCGCAATGTGGTGTGCCTTGTCAAGAAAGTCATATTTGTGTTCTAGAATTCTTACAAAAGAATTTTTGTGATATTGCAGGGTGGGATGTCTAATGAGTTATACAATACTGTAGCTCGTGTAACAGATGGGCTTTTTGAAGGTGTCCATATTTGCTCTGCTTAATTTTGTTTTAATAGCTGACAATATTTGAACAAGGTTTTAATACAATTTTGGTATGTCTTGAAACTCTTCAGGTATTGCTATTGGAGGTGATGTGTTCCCAGGGTCTACTCTTTCTGACCATGTTCTGCGGTATAACAATATCCCCCAGGTACATTATGCTTTCATTACTTTTTTTTAAGGGACTGCCCACGATTTGCATATTGTAGGAAGTCATCAGAATTCTAAAATTCGGAATCTGGTTTTCTGATCGAATGCAGGTCAAACTTATTGTTGTACTTGGGGAACTTGGTGGGAGAGACGAGTATTCTCTAGTTGAAGCTTTGAAACAGGGCAAAGTTACCAAACCAGTGGTTGCTTGGGTTAGTGGGACTTGTGCAAGGCTTTTCAAATCCGAAGTGCAATTTGGTCATGCTGTAAGTTCTCATCTCAGTTGCCCTTGAATAATATCTTCTGAAGACAGTAAGTGGGCAAAGGATTCTAATTCTTCCTTGACGTTATGTAAATCAGGGCGCAAAAAGTGGTGGTGAGATGGAGTCTGCACAAGCAAAGAATCAAGCCCTGAGGGATGCTGGTGCTGTTGTTCCCACTTCATATGAAGCTTTGGAAATTGCTATCAAGGAAACATTTGAAAAACTGGTAATTACAGCACGCCTTGAGATAAACTCCACAAAGATTGCTTGACTTAGTTATGGAATTCCATGAGGATCTGTGGCAGACTAACATTACATGTTTCGCTTATTTGTGCAGGTTGAAGAAGGCAAGATTGCACCAGTCAAGGAATTCAAGCCTCCACAAATACCTGAAGATCTCAACTCTGCGATTAAGAGCGGAAAAGTTCGTGCTCCAACTCATATCATATCCACAATCTCTGATGACAGAGGTATATACTAAACCCTACAATGTTCCTGTATATTATTGATGTGTTTGGCAGAAGACATTATCATTGACTTCTACTTTTTATCTACTATGCAGGTGAGGAACCATGTTATGCTGGTGTACCTATGTCTTCCATTGTTGAGCAGGGTTATGGTGTCGGTGACGTTATCTCTCTTTTGTGGTTCAAGCGTAGCCTTCCCAGTTACTGTACTAAATTTATTGAGGTAGGTTCCTCATTACTATAAAGCTGCTTACTTGTACTTTTTCCCCCTCCTGTTTAATGTGGTCGTCCTAGAAGCACATTTGCATATTGTAGCTCTTTCACTAATATGTATGACATTGATATCAGATTTGCATCATGTTATGTGCCGACCATGGTCCTTGCGTCTCTGGTGCACACAACTCAATAGTAACTGCTAGGGCTGGCAAGGACCTTGTTTCCTGCCTTGTTTCAGGTAGATATATTCCCACAGAAAATGTTCTATACTTTGTTATAAAGTTTCTAGTTTAAGGATTAGAGATAATTTGGTTGCGGACTCAAAGATGAGCTTCTGAAACAGGTTTGCTCACAATTGGACCACGATTTGGTGGTGCCGTTGATGATGCTGCTCGATATTTCAAGGATGCATATGACAGGGTGAGCTTTATTGGGCATTTCATGTTTAATCGTTGAAACTTTAAACCTTAAAATTATGTTTTAAACAAGCAGTCCCTTTGCTGTGTTTTATCAGAATCTTACACCTTATGAGTTCGTTGAAAGTATGAAGAAGAAGGGCATTCGTGTGCCAGGGATTGGGCATAGGTATTGAGAGTTTTCAAAAATATGCAACAGTACAATCTTGGAGTTTCAGTTTATGCATTTTAGTAGCTGCGTTTGAAATCTTATTGATGGAAGTTTTTGTTTCTTTGCTGTGAAAAAGGATCAAGAGAGGGGACAACAGAGATAAGAGAGTAGAGCTTCTACAAGCGTTTGCACGCACACATTTCCCTTCTGTCAAGTACATGGAATATGCCGTTCAAGTTGAAACCTACACACTCTCGAAGGCAAACAACCTGGTCCTCAATGTTGATGGTGCAATTGGAACCCTGTTCTTGGATCTTCTTGCTGGCAGTGGAATGTTCGCCAAACCAGAGATTGACGAGATTGTTGAGATTGGATATCTGAATGGGCTATTCGTGCTGGCACGTTCTATTGGTTTGATTGGGTGAGTACTGGCTAGAATTATTCTCTATTTATTCTTTTCCGCAGATATTTTATAGGTTAGTTTTATGTTGTTGCGGATTAAGGTACAATCATATTCTAGATAACGACACATCAACAATCAGAACACTGAACCTACATAGGCACACATCTCCTCTACCTGCAAGGATAATGTACTTTGGACTTCCTACCGTCCCTAAACAGACACGGTCTTATGGTCACTGATACATATAGGACTTACTAGTCAATTTCCGATCTGTTGGCATAATATAGGATTAGATACCTGGCTTTGTCATTGAGGGTAACACAAAACAACTGATTGTTCTTAATGACAATGAGGTTCATCACCGTTCGATGGTGGATCAGATAAACAAGGGAGAGAAGACATCATTTTCTGCTTGTATATATGATGCTTTCCTGAGTACATCCGTAGAATATACTTTTACTCGACTGATTTCTCTCTGCTCCAAATTTCAGGCACACATTCGACCAGAAGAGGTTGAAGCAGCCCCTATACCGCCACCCATGGGAGGACGTTCTTTACACCAAGTGAAAAAACATCGGATAGCAGGTTCTGATTCCGGACTACCTGCTTTTAGACGAGCATTGTTGTTTCCAAGTCTCTCAAGTCTACGATTCGCCTGGAACGATTATTGTTCGGTTGTTAGAATAGTGTGTGTGTATCGCTAATGCTGGAGCTGATTTTTATCTTTCATTTTGCAAGTCCGTATCGAAAGTTCATAAAACGAAGAACCCTCGATCATTTTACTAGACAAATTTATGTTTTCGTATAAATTTCTTGGTTTCTGGTTTTGGGAGAGAATGTAGAGCAACTGGGAATTGGATATATCAACAGTGTGTGCAATTGTTCTCTCTCGAGAAAAAACAACCGAATAAATAGAAATTTGTTGCCTCACAGGATAAATATTTTCTCAAAACTAGCGTTGTATAAAGTCATAAAATGTAAATTGGTCTTATCGGTTGAACTTCTTTTTGTGGAAATTTTCATCATAAAGTAGCGTTAAGTAATGCTATTCATACTATATTTTTATACCATATTTTCATACCACATTAGGTGGCATCTAATGTGGACAGCCACATCATTTGAAAAAATTGCAAAACCCAAGGAAATGAAGGAGAAAGATTCCTCGTATACCACAATCATTATTTAATTAACTACTTTTTCTTAATTATTAATTTATTAAATAATGAACTAAATTTAAAAATCTAATTAATTTAAATGATGTGGCTGTCTACATCAATGTCACCTAAGTTGGTATAAAAATGTGGTACAAAATATGAATAGCATTACTCTTAATAATTTTTCAGACTTTTTATACACCAACGAGACAATGCATTTATTCAATATATTCTTTGTAATTTTGTGTCTGTCTAACCCATATATACCTCTCTCCAAGTTAACATTACGCGTTATAACAAGATATTTAAATGTTGTTGGTATAAATTTGTCCACTCACAAAACACCTCCAAATTAGTTATTGAACGCGCATTGAACCGTCAATACATAATAAGTTCTTGATTAATTTGGAAAGAATATTTGATCATATCCTCTATAAGTTTAGGGAGTTCTAGATTTATTTAAATCGATATATTACAAGTGAAGAAAAAGAAAAAAAAGGAAATGTATTATAGTATAGTAATATTTTTCTTCACTTATAAGTAAGATGTCTTATGTTTGATTCTCGCAAAAAACGAATTTGAACTACATTATTATAGTTTAACTCATAGTGAAGCTTAACTCATTCGCTATTCCTTTAGTATAGATAAACTTTTAAGACATGGGTCTCTTTAGCAAGGTCTCTTTAGCAAGGTCTCTTTATTGCTAAAATTAGAATGGGTCTCTTTAGCAAGGTCTCTTCAGCAATGTCTCTTTATTGCTAAAATTAGAAAGGACAACTGAATTCCCTTCCATTTATAGTTCTACTTTTATAATATATTGGGGAAAGAACCTGACTTGGATCTCATGGTCAGTGCAAAGATTTTTAAGTCCCAACTTTAATTGGCAAAAATAAAATATGCAAAGATTTATATAAAAGAGATAAAAAAAAATTACTATTAATATTACTTCAAAATTTTAATATTTAAAGTGTCAATAATTATTTTTTAAATAAGAATTGTATACAGGAGAATTAAAATTAGAAAAATGTGAAGGAGATTCTTTTAAAATAAATTATCTTAAAAGTAGGATTGTATGTATTTTCTATCATCTCAGTTTTTTACACATATATATATTTTTTTAACACGAAAATTGATATTAAATTATGAAATAATAAAAAATTAATGTAAAATCTACTTTGAAAAAGTGTCGTTAACATTTTTCTCAAAATTATTGTCATTGATTCATTGGCTCAAACTCCCAAACGCACAGGACCACCAATCGAATGATGGCCACCATTTTTATTCTCACCACGAATAATGCAAAACGAAAATCAAGAAAATTAGAGATAAATCCACACAAACAAAAAAACAACAATTCAGAAGAAAAAAAAATAAAGAAAAAAGAAGAGAGAAATAAAGTGTCGTTTTCATTTCTTCTTTCTCTCTCTCCCCGCTCGCTTTCTTTCTCTCCCAGCACAGAGAAGAAAACACAACAAAACAAAAAAGAATCAAGCCAAACCAGCTTTATTACGGACCGCCATCAGAATTCACAAGCTTTCTTACATTTTTTTTGAAAAAAGTCACAAGCTTTCACTTTGATCGGCGTCGAATTTTCATGGGGTATTGGAATTTACCCCCTTTTTTTTTTATATAATTTTTCAGCGAATATAGGACTAACCCAGTGAGAATTGAGTCAAACGGGGAGGACCCAAGTCAGCAGAAATGGCGTCCGGCGGTCAGTCGTCGGGCACCAGCAATATCAAAGCTCACCACAACACGGAGTCTATGAGCAAAGCCATTGCTCAGTACACCGTCGATGCTCGGCTGCACACGGTGTTCGAGCAGTCCGGCGAGTCCGGCAAGTCGTTCGACTACTCGCAGAGCATGAAAACCACCAAAGATTCGGTTCCGGAGCAGCAGATTACGGCGTACCTGTCCAGGATTCAGAGGGGCGGCCATGTCCAACCGTTCGGGTGCATGATGGCTGTGGACGAAGCCACGTTTGGAGTCATTGCGTACAGCGAGAACGGCCGTGACATGCTCGACCTAACGCCGCAATCAGTTCCTATCCTTGAGAAGCCGGAGATTCTCACAATTGGGACCGACATCCGTACGCTGTTCACGCCGTCGAGCGCGGTTTTGCTGGAGAAGGCATTTGGCGCTCGGGAGATTACGCTTTTGAACCCGATTTGGATCCACTCCAAGATTTCTGGAAAGCCCTTCTATGCAATTTTGCATAGGATTGATGTTGGGGTCGTGATTGATTTGGAGCCTGCAAGAACAGAGGACCCTGCGCTGTCGATTGCCGGCGCGGTGCAGTCGCAGAAGCTGGCGGTGAGGGCGATCTCGCAGCTGCAGTCACTGCCAGGCGGTGACATTAAGCTTTTGTGTGATACTGTGGTGGAGAGTGTGAGGGAGCTTACTGATTATGATAGAGTTATGGTTTATAAGTTTCATGAGGATGAGCATGGTGAGGTTGTGGCTGAGAGCAAAAGGCCTGACTTGGAGCCGTACATTGGGCTGCACTACCCGGCCACGGATATTCCACAGGCGTCAAGGTTCTTGTTCAGGCAGAACCGGGTTCGAATGATAGTAGATTGTCACGCCAATCCGGTTAATGTGATTCAGGATGAAGGGTTGATGCAGCCTTTGTGCTTGGTCGGATCCACACTAAGAGCCCCTCATGGTTGCCATTCCCAGTACATGGCTAATATGGGGTCCATTGCGTCATTGGCGTTGGCCGTAATCATCAATGGAACTGATGAGGAAGCTCTTGGAGGGAGGAATTCAATGAGATTATGGGGCCTGGTTGTTTGCCATCACACCTCCGCTCGGTATATTCCATTTCCGCTTCGGTATGCTTGTGAGTTTTTAATGCAGGCCTTTGGACTTCAGTTAAATATGGAATTGCAATTGGCTTCACAAATGTCTGAGAAACATGTTTTAAGGACGCAGACTCTGTTGTGTGACATGCTTCTGCGTGACTCCCCGACTGGCATTGTCACTCAAAGTCCTAGTATCATGGACCTTGTTAAGTGTGATGGTGCTGCACTCTACTACCAAGGGAGGTACTACCCGCTTGGTGTGACGCCTACCGAAGCCCAGATAAAGGACATTGTGGAATGGTTGTTGGCTTTCCATGGAAGTTCAACTGGTTTGAGCACAGATAGTTTGGGTGATGCCGGGTACCCTGGAGCTGCCTCTCTTGGTGATGCAGTTTGTGGGATGGCGGCTGCTTATAGTACTAAAAGGGATTTTCTGTTCTGGTTTCGATCCCACACTGGGAAAGAGATCAAATGGGGTGGAGCAAAGCATCATCCAGAGGACAAGGATGATGGGCAGAGGATGCATCCACGCTCTTCATTCAAGGCGTTTCTGGAAGTAGTTAAAAGCCGGAGTTTGCCATGGGAGAATGCAGAAATGGATGCAATACACTCTTTGCAGATTATTTTGCGTGACTCGTTTAAGGACACGGAGACAAACCATTCAAAAGCTGTTATGCAGACCCAGCTTGGTGATCTGGAGTTCCAAGGGATCAATGAGCTCAGCTCTGTAGCAAGAGAAATGGTTAGGTTGATAGAGACTGCAACTGCTCCCATATTTGCTGTCGATATTAATGGCTGTATAAATGGGTGGAATGCAAAGGTTGCAGAGTTGACCAGACTCTCAGTTGAGGAAGCTACCGGGAAGTCTTTGGTTCATGATCTCGTTTACAAAGAATCTGAAGAAATTGTTGACAAACTTCTGTCCCGCGCGTTAAAAGGTAATCTTTTTGGACCTAATGTCTTTATTCCTGTTTACTTAGTGAGTTTATTTATGCGGTGTTATTGACATTTTTTCAAGTATTTTCTCAATATCAGTGACACCACACCGCTAATCAAAATATAAGTTTCTTGCCAAACGTTGTCATCATAAAACTGATGCATGAAGGGTGTATGTCAAATTTTGAAATTCTCCGAGTAAATCTTTGAATGGCACAGGATAAAGTCATAGCAATCTTGGATACTTCAAGTGCTACATGAACTTCACTGAGATAGTTTTATTGTGATGACTTGATACCTTCTAATTAATTAAGCTTCACTGGAAAGATCCAAAAATGTTAGCCTTTCTTGTATTAGCAATGTATTGTAGTTATCGCTTGTATTCTGTCTTAATAATGCAATTCTATCTGCAAGAGAGACTTAGGTCATTACTTTTTCTGCCTTGAAACTGGTCAATTAGGTGATTGCTCAGTAGCAATGCAACAAGGGCAGAGCATGTGTTTGCATACCATATAGGTATGAATTTTGGAATGTTACCTTAAAACAAACAGGTGCATACCGTTAATGTCAGCATGGCTGAGTATGGCAAAATATGGGGCTAAACACCTAATTGACCATTTATTAGTTGCTGGCCTTAAATCTCAAACCTTCTACATCAAATTATAACTTGAATATTTTTGTGGAGTGGAGACTCCCTGTTACCAACTGATGTTTCCCTGGTATATTTTGTTGTTCGGGCCTGCATGCCTCCTTGGTTTTGCTTTGTTTTAGAACTTGTGCCTTTGATTGTTAGTTGTTTCCCCTCTTGGATTGTTTTAGTTTCAGTATCCTTGAATGAAATTGAATTTCCAAAAAAGAAAAGCGAAGATAAGAAAGATAGGGGGCAAAACAGCTTTTTATTTGATATATTTTTTGTTTCATCATGGATGATTTGAATGGAATGATTAATATTAAGTCTGAAAGTAAGTCTATTTTTGGAAAAGGTTGGATATTTGACCACATTAGCTTTTTCAATTCAGGTGAAGAAGATAAGAATGTGGAAATCAAAATGAGGACATTTGGCCCAGAGCATGATAACAAGCCTGTTTTTGTTGTGGTTAATGCTTGCACTAGCAAGGATTACGCTAATAACATAGTTGGAGTTTGCTTTGTTGGTCAGGATGTTACTGGTCAAAAAGTAGTAATGGACAAATTCATAAAAATACAAGGTGATTACAAGGCCATTGTTCATAGCCCCAATCCTTTGATCCCACCCATATTCGCTTCAGATGATAACACCTGTTGCTCGGAATGGAACACTGCCATGGCAAAGCTCACTGGGTGGAGCCACGGAGAAATCCTTGGAAAAATGTTGGTTGGAGAGGTCTTCGGCAGTTGCTGTCGTATCAAGGGTCCAGATGCTATGACAAAATTCATGATTGTCTTGCACAATGCCATCGAAGGGCTAGACACAGATAAATTCCCCTTTTCATTCTTTGACCGGAATGGGAAATATGTACAAGCTCTCTTGACAGCAAATAAGAGGGTGAATACAGAAGGTCAGGTTATTGGAGCTTTCTGCTTTTTGCAGATTGCTAGTCCAGAACTGCATCAGGCTCTTAATGTTCAGAGGCAACAGGAAAAGGAATGTTTATCTAGGATGAAAGAATTGGCTTACATTTGCCAGGAAGTAAAAAATCCTTTAAGCGGTATACGTTTTACTAACTCACTTTTGGAGGCTACAGACTTAACTGAAGATCAAAGGCAGTTTCTGGAGACTAGTGCTGCTTGTGAGAAGCAAATTTTGAAGATTATAAAAGATGTAGATCTGGATAGTATTGACAATGGGTAAGTTTTTCTTATAAACTTATGTTGTTACGTTCTTTTAACAAAATTCTTCTCACATGTCTTCTGTTTCTTATCTTCTGCTAGTACTGCATTCTTATCCTGAGACATAATACAAATCAGTCCCCTTGCTTTAATTTTTATTTGTATCTGTTGATTCTTTCTGTGTCCACTGATCCTTTCACATCCCAGTGTTTTTTTTTTTAATATAAATACTGGCACCTTAATTTTTTCATAATTGAACAGAAAAACATAATTAAGTTTCTTACTTCTTTTTGGCTTTTCAATTAGATCACTGCAGCTTGAGAAGGCAGAATTCTTACTTGGGGGTGTCATAAATGCTGTTGTTAGCCAAGTAATGTTATTGATGAGAGAAAGAGATCTACAGTTGATTCGGGATATTCCTGAAGAAATCAAAACATTGGCTGTTTATGGTGATCAAGTGAGAATTCAGCAGGTCTTGGCTGATTTCTTATTGAATATGGTACGTTATGCACCCTCTCCTGAAGGCTGGGTGGAGATTCATGTTCTTCCAATCTTGAAGAAAGTACCTGATGGAATCACTCTGGTTCGTACTGAATTCAGGTGGTTTGTCTTCTCACTATTAATATTTTATTAGTTGTGGATGTTGATGGGGATGAGATAACAGAGTAATGTACGCAACTTGTCCTTGCAACCTGACTTTGCCTGGTGTCCTGTGGGCTGAAATGATAATCATGTTCAACACGTAGGGTTTAACATATATATGCTATGTGCTTTAAAAAGAGAAAGTTATGATCATGGTTTCGGAGCCAGTGACTTACTTGATGTATGTTGAATGACTTGGTTTCATGAATAGGAGTTAGTAATGCAAAGTTCGGTTTTGTACCTAATGAACCTCTTACTTTCTATTGGCGTAGTCTAACCAGAATGATTGTATGCTTCATGTAATTGCAATTTCTCTCTCCCAGCTTTCTTCACAGTAATGGCTAGTCTCGTTGGGCACTACTTACAAAATGCAACACTTAAAATCGTCACTTTTCTTCTTATATTGTTAATGACATAAATATTACCGTTGTGATATTTAAACGACTAATCCCGTGTTTATGGTGAAGGTTGGTATGCCCTGGTGAAGGTCTTCCTCCTCAATTAGTTCAAGACATGTTCCATAGCAGTCAATGGATGACTCAGGAGGGGCTAGGACTGAGCATGTGCAGAAAGATTTTAAAGCTCATGAATGGTGATGTCCAATATATCAGAGAGTCCGAAAGATGTTATTTCTTAATTACTCTCGAGCTTCCTATGCCTCGGAGACCTACAAATAGTAGTGACTAGCTGATCAAACTTCCAAGAATTTACAGTTTCAACAGGGGATGCTTCTTATCCCAAGAACAAACTGCACAGGCACCACCAAAACTGCCGGATTCTTTTTTACTGTACTAAACAGAACATATTTCTTCCCACTTTAGCAAGCGACCCAAGACTGGCGTTGGACAACACCAATTCAGCTCACCAAGACATTCGAGCAAGGTATAGCAGGTAGCCTAAGTGCAGTCTTAATGATTTCTCTAATGCAGTTAAGCCAAACCTTACTGCATTAATGCGCTGCTGTGTGTTATTCATGGAAAAGGACCGAGAGGGTGCATTCAAAGGCTCTTCTTGTAGTACTTCTTCCACGCATGTATTCTACTCCATTGTTTGTACTAAATCGTTTTACACCACTTGTTCTCAAGTGTCTGCGACGAAAGCGTTTTGGTCTTTTCCCTTTAAATGTATAAATCTTCTCCTGTGTAATAAAGCTGATGGTCCTCTTCTAGCTGCTGGGTAAATGTAACATAAATTGACTGACGTTATGTTATTTAATTCATATATGAAATGGTGATGGGGTGAGTGGATTGATGTTTGAGATGGTGATGAATGGCCCATACCATTTGTTGTTATTTCTCATTTTCTGATTAATGTCAGAGATAGTGACAATGAATAAGTACAAACTTACTTATTCCAGCCTCCACAATAGTAAGTTTTTTCTCTTGCCAAAGGAGCTATGGTTAATTGTCGGTTCATCGAGCAAAAGAGATTATTAAATCTAGATCATAGCCATAGGTAATGTTGAAGACGGAGGCCAACTTCTAAGTTTTGTCTAGCAGAAGGTAGAAGATGAATTAGTGACGATGAATAAGTAAAAACTTACTTATTCCAGCCTCCGCAATAGTAGGTTTAAACACGTGGATGACCCTTGGCAAACCCAACTTCTTAGGCTATGGGGGCAGAAGAGCGGATTCTTAATTCATCTAATTCATATAACTTAATAAACTTCAGAACTCAGGATTATCTGATCCAGTCTATTTCTATGCACCATAAATGACTCGAAAGTGAGACAAAATTTGAAATTTAAGATTATAACTTAATAAAGCAAGCGTGGGCATTGAAGTCCAAGTAGGTCATTACTTAATTTATTATAGAAATGGATGTAGTTAGTATGCCTAATTAATTTAGTCAACTGGATAGGTCGGTCACCATGAGCTTTATAAGAGCTGGCTTTGTTATTTGAGATAATGATATTTTAGAGGGCATGGAATTGGGGTGGTCTATTTTTTTTATGGTAAAGTTTAAGCACTTAATAATGGTAATAATGGAAGTGTCACTTGTTCTGTTTGCTAATGATAATATTATCTCCTCTAATTAGGAAATATTTTTTTTCTTTTATAAAGGGATTAGCTAGTGACTTCACCATAACAGTCCATTTTTTTGGAGGTCGAAAAAACTCACAGAGACATTTTAACTTTCTCTTAGTCACCATCGTGTGATTCACTAACACCTGGAATCGAATCCAAAATGTGCTTTGTTGTATGCGGGTCCGAAATTCGTCCCCAACCACTAAATCACTCCGTGGTAATTCTCTAATTAGGAAAGATAACTAAGGAGATTTTGTTGCTGCTGCTAATTGTCTCTTTCACTCCAAAAATTGTGCGCATGCACGTCCACGATAGTGCTGTGCACGCAAACCAAAGCTCAAGTGCTAAAACTTTTGTGCAACTTGCTTCTTGCTTGCTTCCAAAGTTGATAGTGTCCTATTATAAAAAACAAAACTTTTCATGGAAAAATAAAGAAACAAATGTTAGCCGCCTCAAAATGAATATAAGACACGATTTAAGCGTGGGATTTTCAAGTTCTAAGAAATTGACGTAAAATTATAAGAAATGAAGTACAAAACGATAGATGTGAGAGGTTATAATTGTCGCTTGTAATCGTTACAAATGCCTGTGAAGGAAATTTAGAAATGATTTATTAAAAGTAGGAATTTGTTGATCTCTTTCAAAGACATTTGTAATGCTTAACAAGGGTGTTTCTAATCCTTATTATATAATGTTTAATAACTTAACCTCAATTCCATGCAGCATAGAAATTTCTCACTCAAACATAGCTTAAGGACGGAAAAATAATAATTAAGCAATGCCTTATTACTTACAAGTCTTAATTACTTTGTTTTTTTAATTTTAATTTGGTTTTGAGCTTTCTTAAACTTTTAGTTCATGCCAATTCCCCTTCATTTGTCCATATTTTAGTAGGATTCTCCACTTCTATTTGAATGGTTACAATAGCTACGTCAACATCTTGTGTTGACTTCTTTATAAAGAAGGAAAGACGAAGTGGAAAATGTGAGGGAGGAGGATGACTTAGCTTCACGATGGGCTAGTAATAATGCGATTCAAATTCACATTTGGCGAGAATTGAACTTACGACCTCTCACTTAAAAGTGAAGAGAAATATCACTAGACCGAAATACTAAGTGGCTACTCCGTCCATTTTAGATGGTAAAAGTTTTTGAATTTGTTGTAAATCAGCAAGCTTCAATTCCTCTTAATTTTTTTATTCTCATAACTCAGTTATCATAATTTCAACTATTTAACAATTTTATTTGTGAATGTAGAACTTTGTTTTTTATGAATATGCCCCTAGAAGTTGGCCATGTACATTGCACGCGATTTAGATAAAAAGATCACGACAGAATTGCCACTTGCACGAATTGAAAGCATAACGGAAATCAAAGCCAAATTGGAAGTTTGAAGGGCAAAGAGGAACAAAGTCCTAAATTCCGCTTGCTCAAAACGAATTCTAAACATTATTTACGCACATGAATAATGAATAAATACAAGACAATTATTAAACGTTGTTCGCATATGAATGATTGTCAACACAAACATTAATAACTCCCATTAGTCTACACAAATGTTGAAAGTAAAGCTCAAAATGTACGATTAAAAGACAAATGTAATATAAACACAAGACATATAAATGTTATTTATGCAAAAGTTTGCAAAGAGGAACAAAGTCCTAAATTCCGCTTGCTCAAAACGAATTCTAAATGTTATTTACGCACATGAATAATGAATAAATACAAGACATATATTAAACGTTGTTCGTATATGAATGATTGTCAACACAAACATTAATAACTCACATTAGTCTACACAAATGTTGAAAGTAAAGCTCAAAATGTACGATTAAAAGACAAATGTAATATAAACACAAGCTCCAAGCGAGATATTTGGTAAGGCTGCAAGACTAAAGCAACTTTTACTTTACATAAAATTGCGTGAAGTTAGATGTGCTTAAGAGACTAAAAACTTTCTGTTATCTACATGACATTATAATATTGGAAAATGATCTTTTCCAGATCCACTTTGTGGGGATTTAGGGATCCCCACATTCTAACCTTTTATCGTAGATCGTGCGATCAATTTTTGTCAAATATTATTTGTGTTTAATTTTAAATAAAAAAGTGAAATGATTTCTGATTGCATGATAAACGATGAATGACTAAGATGTTGGGATCCTTAGGATCCCCACAAAGTGGATTAGGATCGGATCCAATTCCTATAATATTGGAGTGGAGGGCTCCACAATGTATCACATTAACATACTAACAAAAATTTCAATGGAATTCAAAATGATTGACGATATTGATTTGCAACATCCATACGCAAAATTAATGATAAAAACACTATTATTTATTTAAGAAAAGAGTAAACAAGACCCGATTATGCAAAATTCAAAGAGGAAAGAACATAGTCAAACCCCAATTAGTGCTTATGTTTCACCACTCTTTCAACCCATAGGGCCATATAGATGCAGCGAATTTTCAAGGTCTTCAGAGAAGGTGATGCCAAATAAGCAACAGATGCCCCTCTCCATTCACGGCATATAATTCCATGGTAGATCCAGTTTTCCTAAATAGGCAAAACAATACACTTGATTAATTAGACAACTTTTAGATTTAGACTCCAAAGTTGTCCTTTTCTCGTGATATGTATGAACACAAATACTTCATCCGAGCTCACAAACCTAACCTTATCCGTCCTTTCATTTTTTTGGTTGAAAAAAGTTTGCCGAAGGGGAGGTTACCTCATCTCAGAGTTACAACATACCACAAGTAGAGTTGTTGCTGGCAGCGGACTCGAACTTAATCATTGGTCTAGCAAAGAGAACCATCTTTATCAACTCAACCAACCTCTGCTGACTTATGTTTTTTAATTATATATGTTTGTTTCCATAGATAAAACACAATTTTGTTACCATAATAGAGCTCGTTAGGATGTGTTTTTGAAATGACTGAAAGCGTTTTTGGTGAAAATGTTTTTGATGAAAATTATTTTAGAACCAATCATTAGTGAAGATGCAAGTAAATTCTGGAAAAACACTTAAAGTGCTTTATGCAAGAAGCACCAGTTATGTGCTTCTTATAGGAAGCATTTTAAGTGCTTTTGAAATCCAAAAATATTTTCTTTAAAAGCGTTTTCAGTCATTTTAAAAGGACATTCAAATAAGCTCATAATTAGGTTAACTAAAAGACGGCTAGGGGTAAGTTGGGAAATTCAATGTAGGTGAATTATAAGTCAGACCAATGAATAATGTGCAATTGCAAATGAAGTAATCTGAGCCGCAAGTTAATCCAATCCTAATATATTAATCCGGATTTGGGAGGACCAATTAGAACTCAGGAAATAAAGGGAAAGTACTTTACCAAAAAAAAAAGAAAAAAGAAAATAAAGGGAAAGTTAATGGACGAAAAGGGACATTGCGCACTTGGGATTTATTTTGTACAATATTTTTCATGGACTCCGAAAAAAGGAGGAGGAAGGTGGCAGGATAAAAAGAGGAGCGGAAATAGTCCAATTTGGAGGGCCTTTTAGCGGAAAATGCAAAGCCAGGTTAAAAACCTAAACGCAGCAGCTCGCGTGCGGAGGACGCTGATCTCCGATTGGTCATGGGAAGGGGATTATCCGGAACAATGATTGGTTGGTGTTCGTACTCCGGTATTTGGCGCGTGGGTCGTCATTTGCAGAATTTAGCATGTAAATTTACTTCTGGTCTTAATGGTTAAGATTCAGATGATGATGCGACAAAAAATAAAAAAAATTAGGGAATGGGAGGAAACAGCTAACCGCCCAAAAACAAGAGAGGAGAGAGAGGGGGAGGAGAGGGAGAGGAGAGAGAGAGAGAAGAAGGAATAAGCTAAACCTAAAAGAGGAAGGAGAGAGAGAGAGAGGGTGAAGAAGAAGAAGGAAGATGAAAAGCAGAATGCTAATATGTTATTTGACCTCTCAAATCAGCAAGTAATTGACTGCACTTATTATACAAGCAAAGGAAAAAGAAGAGCAGTTATTGGAGAGAGAGAGAGAGAGAGAGAGAGAGAGAGAGAGAGAGAGAGAGAGATTCATCAATCAATCCCTCTGAGTCCGTCTTATCAATTTCAACCCCCATACTTGCTTATAGCTTTCAAGATCATAATCTCAACTGGGTGTCCATTGTTTTCAAATTTTTGATTGGAGTAGAAGAAAACTGAGAGAACCCATGAGTCTTCTTCCGTTTGAGCTCGGTTTGCTGCCATTTCCAGAACTGGGTTCTTCATTTCATTGAAGACTTTCAACTGGGTTGGTGGGTTTTGGTGCAAAGCTTCAAGCTTTGGAGGTTTCTGCTGCCATGGATACTCCGCCGGCGGAGGAGCTTCTGAAGAAGATCCAAGTGCTGGAAGCGGGTCAGGCCGACCTCAAGAAGGAGATGACCAAGCTCAGGCACTCCGAGGATGTCAAATCAGAGCACCAGAGGGCCCACTCCGTCTCGCCGCAGCGCTCAAGGTTCTCGTCTGTGCCCAGAAGGAGAGTCGCTGGGGGCGGCGGTGCTGCTGGTAATGGAGGTCACGATGCGGCGGCTTGGAAGAGAGGGTCTTCTTCATTTCGGCATTCCTCGCCGCTTCAGAGGGAGAGCCGCAGCCATGATCCTCCCACTGGAGGCAGTGGCGGCGGCGGCGGCAGTGGAGGAAGCAGTAGCGCCGGACCTTCAGCTGTGAACTTTACTGACAGGCAGTATCTGAACATATTGCAGTCAATTGGGCAATCTGTGCATATATTTGATATCAATGGGCTTATAATTTACTGGTAAGTAGCTCAATCAAGGCTTGGTTTTGCAGATTTTGATGTTCATTTGTCTACGTTTTTGTATTGGTAAATTTTATCTGTCACTAGCATGAATTGCTTGATATTTTTCTAGTATTTATTCGATTACTGGGTGGTTATATAAATTCAACTCTGGTTGCAAATGTGAATTGTTAGGTTCGTTGAATTGAGATTGACTGTATATATGTTGGTTGTGATGCTGAATTTCTGTTGATGAAACTAAATTGATCAGCATTTGATTATTTTCGTATAAAAATTCCTCTTTGAAATATGGTTTTAGTGGTAGAAGGTATCAACTTGGTGCATTTGGGAATATTGATTATTGCAGGAACAAAACTGCTGAAAATTTATATGGTTATTCTGCGGCTGAAGCACTTGGACATAGTCCCATTGAGCTCTTAGTAGATCCTCAAGACTATGCTGTAGCAAACACTATAATCCATCGTGTCAGCAAGGGGGAGAGCTGGACTGGCAGTTCCCTGTCAAGAACAAAGCTGGGGAGAGGTTTACGGCCGTTGTAACAGATACTCCATTCTATGATGATGATGGCACTTTTATTGGGATTATTTGCGTGTCAAGTGATATCCGGCCCTTTCGAGAAATTAAGATTCCAATGTCAGGAGTAAAGCCCCCAGAATCAGATTCAAGCTACAGCCGGTCTAGAGCTCGTGTTACTGCTAAACTTGGCCTTGATCCTCAGCAGCCTCTACAAAATGCCATTGCATCCAAAATAACAAATTTGGTTAGTCTTATAGTTTTCTTGTTCCTTTGATTTATTATTCACTAGTGTATCCTGATTGTTAGAGTCCTGAAACAGGCATCCAAAGTGAGCAACAAAGTAAAGTCAAAAATTCGGGTGGGAGAAAACAACATAGATCACGAAGGTGAGAGTGGTTGTCATCATTCTGATCATGGTTCAGATTGTGTTCTCTCTGATCATAGGGAGGATGCGAATTCAAGTGGGGCTAGCACACCTAGAGGAGATTTGCCCCTATCTCCTTTTGGAGTATTCTCCAATATTGATGAGAAGTCTCCAGGAAAGCCCTACAAAGATTCTGGTGATGAGAGTGAAGGAAAACCTTCGATCCAGATGATGATATCCTCAAAAGCAGAATCATGGATGGGTAAGAAAGGGATAACATGGCCATGGAAAGGAAATGGGCGAGAAGGGCAAGAGGCTAAGAATACTCATTTTGTTTGGCCTTGGTTGCATAATGAACATGAGAATGATTCAGCTCATCAGAAGAATTATTTGGTTCAAAACCAGAAAGTCGGGTGAATGAAAATAACCGAACTCCAAATAATGAGGCCACAGGATCCTGGACCTCCTCATTTAATGTTAACAGCACAAGCAGTGCCAGCAGCTGTGGAAGTACTAGCAGCAGTGCTGTGAATAAGGTGGATGTAGACACTGACAGCCTGGACTACGAAATCCTATGGGAAGATTTGATAATTGGAGAACAAGTTGGGCAAGGTAATCATATTTCCAGTGAACCGTCATGCTTCTGAATTATTGATATTCTTCACTCTGGAAACTGTTTAATTGATGTTGGTAAAGCATGCCTGTAATCACCCAAATGAGCAAAGGTGATTAAGTTAATTGTCCAAGGTATATTTGATCTTTCCCAAATCATCTACTGTTTTCTTTGAATCACTAATGACATGGGTAAATGACTTTTTAATTTCCAAAACATTCATCTAATGTATTTTTTTCAGTAGCTAGAATTGGTCATCTTGACCAAACAAAAGTTCTCTTGAACTTATGCTCCTTTCTCTTGCAAGTTTATGATTTTATGGTTTGCTTGGTTGAATTTCTTCCTGACATGTATTTGCTGTTTTCCTCCATTCTGCAGGATCATGGGGAACCGTATACCATGGTCTGTGGTATGGATCAGTATGTTCTTTTTACTCCTTCTTTGGTTAATCTTCACTTTAAATGGATGCCCAAAAAAAGTAGTTCGAGATTTAACTGAAATGATATGGTCGAGTGATGATTTCCATTTACTTTTCTTTTCAAAAAAAAAATTTGCAAGACAAAATGCAGTTCAATTTGCAAGATAGTAAAAGAATTCCGGTTACCCTAGTGAAAGACAAAATGCAGTTCAATTTGCAAGAAGTAAAAAAAAATAAAAAAAGCTCCGCAAATGTCTTCATAACCATAGGGTTTTCATGCCTACATGTTTTGCATAAAGCATGAAATTGGATGAAATGCCATATATACCACTCAAAGTCTCTGATACGGGTAATTTTTTTTTATTGAACTATATTTTTGCAGCATTTATTCACACGAACTAGGAGTAATATCGATGTTGCATGTGGGATGTTCATCGCCTTTAGATTATGAAATGTGAGGAAGCATTAGGAGTATGTTAAGCATGTATTCTTCATGTGTGATTTAATGGTATCCTTGCTCTTATAGGATGTTGCTGTCAAGGTATTCTCCAGGCAAGAATATTCAGAAGATGTGATATTTTCCTTCAGACAAGAGGTGTGATTCTCTTGAAGCCTGTGGGATTATGTTTGAAATACTGTAAAAATATTCCTTTACTTTTTTCCTTTATGGTTAAATTTGTGATTGTCATTCATTTTTGTTCAACACTGATATCACAATATGGTATTGTTTATCAAGGTGTCTCTCATGAAAAGGCTTCGACATCCAAATGTTCTGCTTTTTATGGGAGCTGTGACTTCACCTCAGCGTCTCTGCATCGTAACTGAATTCCTCCCTCGGTTGGTTCTAAACTTCCCTTTCTGAAATATCTATCTTTGCCAGTATTTATATTCAGGTTTATCATTTCAACCAGTGTATTAGTGTTTCATGCATTCATTCTAAAGTACTTCAGAGCTGACTGTGCCTCTTGTATCAATATTTTTTTCATGCAGTGGAAGTTTGTTTCGCTTATTACAAAGGAACACATCAAAACTAGACTGGAGGCGACGTGTTCTTATGGCGATAGATATAGTGAGTATTGAGTAACAATACGAAAATGAGATATATATACATATTATATGATTATAGATCTAGTGCCCCCGTCTGGGAATTTTGTTATACATTGTTGTTTTTCTTTTCTTTTCTTTTCTGTTGTAATGTTTTAGTATCTTAGGATTTAGTATCTCACTACCTTTTGACAGGCACGAGGCATGAATTATCTTCATCATTTCAACCCACCTATCATTCATCGAGATCTGAAGTCTTCAAATCTCCTAGTTGATAGGAACTGGACGGTCAAGGTCTGTCATCCGCCACGTTTCTATTTCTAAATCCTTCTCCATGAGTTTTTTCTTCTTGTGCTTTTACAGCAGTTTGATCAAGTTAAACAATGACCCGTTTGATGTTATCCTGAACAGGTTGGTGATTTTGGTCTTTCACGTCTTAAGCACGAAACATTTCTCACAACCAAGACCGGGAAGGGCACGGTATTTCAACTCACACCACTATATCCTCTTTACTATATATTAAACCAATCGGTCTAAATGTTAGCACGTGAGGTTCTCACTTAAATATGCCAATTTTCTCATTTGTAGCCTCAATGGATGGCACCAGAAGTTCTACGTAATGAACCCTCAGACGAGAAGTATGTTGCCATTGTTCATCTGGAATACTTCCCTTAAATTTTCTGTCATTCTACGGCTTCTCTAAACTACATTTATATCTCTTCGTGATGTTTGGAACTTCGGATGTACACAGGTCTGATATATACAGCTATGGGGTGATATTGTGGGAGCTTGCTACTGAGAAGATCCCTTGGGATAATCTGAACTCAATGCAGGTATTGTTTTCTTTGGGAAAAATATCTTGGTAGCATCTTTTTCAAATATGCTGTGTGCATGTATGAACAACAATTTATTTAGGGTACTCGTAGGTGATTGGAGCTGTAGGGTTCATGGACCAAAGGTTAGAGATCCCAAAGGATGTGGACCCACAATGGACTTCTTTGATTGAGAGCTGCTGGCAGAGGTAGTAATTCTTTCCATGCTCGGTTCATTTCATATATTAGATTCGCGGATTAAATTCACCCTGAAAGATGAAACTCAATTCTCGTCTCACTTTGCCCCCTCCCATCAACTCTGTTTAAAAGTGATATCGGTCGCAAGAGTAGGGCCCACTGATTTGCCGAGGTGTTAGCCATATAATTAGAGATATTTTATTGTTGTCAAAAGGTATTCAGTCTGATTTTTGTGGGTCGGTTTCTATCATTTATTGGTAAAGGGTAGTTGGCATGCGTTTGTTGTCATCAGAAGGTCAAGCTTAATTCTTTATTCAATGCTGTATGGTGTTTAACAAGTTGAACTGAAAACTGAAAACGAAATAGTTATTAAACGGCCCCTCAATTTTTTAAGTCAAAACTTTGGTAAAACTGCTAATGTGCTGATATTCCAACTTGAATGAAAACCAGTGATGCAGCTGCCAGGCCAACATTTCAAGAACTGCTGGAGAGGCTCAGAGACCTGCAGAGACAGTACAATCTTCAGTTCCAAGCAGCGCGTACCGCCACGGGTGATAACGCCCCGAAAGAATTGTAGCCCCTCCCGGCTGGATCTTTATGTTGCATCAGTGTTCTCACTTCCCTACCACTGTGTGGATGAATCGAAGCAGAACAGTGACAAAACGGGTAAATTAGCCAGAGACAGCCCCCAAATGGCATGTCGTATTGGAACCACAAAGTTGGAAAGTCAGATGGCACAAACGGCATGTCGTATTAAAACGGTTGATGGGTTTGGTTGTGATGGTTAATGTGTGGGTGTAGTGCGAGAGGGAGTCATGTCGGTTGGATTGGATCACATGATAATATGTCACCAGTTTTTGTGATTTATAAAAAAATGTAAAAAAATATGAGGGAAACAAAAAAAAAAAAAAAAAAAAAAAAAAACTTGGCAGCGGGTCAATCTGTATTCATTTGAGTAAATAGAGTGATCAATCTCTCTTTTGCATAATAAACCATCTCTATTACTTTTACTTTTTACCATTTTTAGATGGGATGATCTTTTGCGGAATAAAGCTGGAAATTCAATGGGTGATTTGTCGACGTTGTGATTTGCAATGGTTGTGCTTGCTAAAAACAAGTACCACTAAAATGTGGTCAGATTAACGGTTAAACGGAGCAGTTTGATTCAATTTGAGCGCAAAATGAAAAAACCAAAATCAAACCAAACCAAACCAAACTACTATTGAATCATTTGGTTCGATTTAGAGCGTTTTTATGTAGGCGAAACCAAACCCGGTACAATTTGGTTCAATTTGGTCCAAAAATACATTTTTATGGTGTTATAAGGTTTAAATGGTTCGATCGGTCTTATGCCACTCTTAACAGTGGATGAGCAGCGCTACACAGTGCGCTGCTCACAGGACAACGAGCGATTTTGACCATTCACGAATGGGAACCCATATTTCATCAACGGCCAGAAATCACTTGCGCGAAATCTTACCTTGGCAAAACCACATTGGTATTAATGTTGCAGATCAACAGAGGAATTCTCTAATTTGTGACAACAAGTTGATAATATCCACCGCAGCAGAAAAGGTTTCGAGAAAGAAGTTTACTTTGAAGATAGGGTTAGGCCAACCACATAATATGATGGTAACAGACAAATATGGGCACGAAAATGAACACACTTTATAATTGTCATGGAATCTTATCTTGGGATTGGGATGGCCACTCATGCCACTGGTCTAAAGGTAAAGGCTCCCTCTTGGTGACCACCAATTTCTGTTAAGCGCTAAAAAAGTTGAAGTCGCAAGAGCCTTGTAGCTTAGTTGGTTATTCATCCTTGCATTTGTACCTGAGGGCCTGTGTTCGACTCTCCCTCCTCCCCCGCTACCACTTGTTTCCGAAAAAGAAATAAATCTAGCTCAACTGATGCCAAATGTGAAATGAGTCACTAAGGTGCATGTTTCTGATTATTTTATCCTCGCAACTCACAGTACAGCAATGTAATTGTCATTCGATATCTGAATATATCTGATAGCGTTGGAGATGCAAAATTTGAAGCAAAAAAGAAACCCAAATTCTAATCATACTTGGGAATTCATTTCTAGCGAAGCAAGTGTCGAATGGCAGCAACGGCATCACCTTTGTGCTCCCGCAAAGTCCTCTCAGCTACCTTCTTGTCCAACTCTAGTTCATTTGCGATTATGTCTACATCGCCTGCATTGATCTTCACAGCAGCCAATTCCTTCTCCCTGTAAATTGTAACGAAGCAAGCTTTACAATATGGGCACGCCGGTCTCAGCAAATAACGAGTTCATCTTATGCTTATGTTGAACATCATAAAGATCCAGTTACTACACTTCACACTATCGAAAATGTAAATTTACTGCTACCCCACCTTCAGTTCTGCCCAAAACCCCGTATCAAGTCAACAATTTTATACAAATTTCACCACAACAATCGTTAATGTTAGTGAGAAACACTTTCAAGTATCAAACTACATAAAAAATAATCCATCACCTATCAACTATAAACTATTAATGTCGGGTGTAATAATAGTCGCGTTCAGCCTTTTTTCTCTTCAAATTGGTGCTTTGTAAGTGCATCTAACTATTATTTTCTCAACGGGCTTATAACTCAGTTGGTTAAAAGCATTCAGCTCGAGGTCCTGAATCCAATTGTTCCCTCCCCTAGGGATGGGCAAAATACCCATGGGTTTGGGTAACCGTGGTTACATGCTTATTTAAAGTTCACGGTTACGGTTATGGGTAACCGTTTAGATAAACAAACGGTTATGAGTATAACCGTTTATCCGTGAAATTTAAATGGATGATTATGGGTATTACTCGCGGTTATAACGGGTATCCATTGATTATGGATATTAACCGCGGTTATAACGGGTATCCATTTACCCATTTAATTTAATATATGTAAAATTTATAATATTTTTAACAGTTATAACGCGTTTTTGTATTTGTTGCTAAACTTTTCGTATACAAAAAGTTTGAAGCACAAGGAGAAAAAATCAAAGAGCTGACTTGAAGCTTATGATCTATCTTGCGGTTCACAGAAAATACTGGTATTAGTGTAGAAAAATGTTTGTTTTTAGAAGCTTACTTTGTACCCATATGGATTATAATTAAAGACTTGCTCGGGTGTAGTAGAAAAATATCGTTCGTAAACTATTATTTCAATTATTAGAATTATATGATGACCTAAATGATTAAAATAGAGCAATGCATGCTAAAATGTACCTATAACGGTGTTTAATTGTCAAAAAACGAATTTTTTTTTTATAATTTTTAAGTTGTTAAAAAAAAAACATGTAGATAGGTCAAAAAAGGATAAAAAAAATGATAAACGAGTTCAAAATGGGTAAATGATTATGGTTAAATGGGTAAACAGTTAGTTATGGGTAAATGGGTACATATGATTAACCATTTATAAACGATTATGGGTATGGGTATAACCATTTATGCAATTATCCACTAGGTAAACTGTTATGCAAGTATGAACATAAACGATTATGAGTAAATAACCGCGATTACCCGTCCGCTGTAACCGCCGTGCATCCCTACCCTCCCCATTATCGCTTGCCTAAAGAAAAAACTATTGCTTTCAAACCCTTACTACTGAGTCACAAGGAAAATCTAATCTTTCAATAGCATACGAATCAAACTCGATCATAAGTTAATTCAATATTGAAATTTTTGATAAATATAAGTACAGACTAAATTGGAATATACCGACCTCAATCGCATAGCATTCCTATCGGCTTCGGAGGAGGCGGCGATGGAAGCCATGGCCTCCTGGACGCGGGTGGAATTGAGCTGGCGATCTTCGACGCGGTCGGTGAGCTTATCGAAGGCTTTGCTCTGCTGCTGCAAGTCCTTGGAGTCCACCACCATCTCTACTCCTTCTCCACCTCCCTCCATTTTTTTCAGATTCTTCGATTTCGATTGCGCTTTCTTCGTGTGATTCTCGCGATTCAGAAACTGAAATTTGAAACCCCCTTCTGTATTTTTGAAGGAATTTGGTAAAAAACCCTAGCTTTTGCCCTCTTTTGAGAATTGAAGACTTGAAAGCGGTGGTGACTGGCGGTGGCTGAGAATTGGGGGCCTGAGCATGTCAATAGCGGGCTAGAATTTGATAATGGCCCAACAAGAATTTGATTGGGCAATCATGGCCATTCAGCCTTAAAATTGGCCGGTTCACAGAATTTCGTGCTTATAATTCGAACTGTTCATATTATAAATCACTATACGAAGATTATCTTTATAAAAAATTAATATAAACTAAGACCATTTAGGGGCCGTTTGATACTCATTTCATTTTCACTTTTGGTTTTCACGTTTTTTAAAATTGAAATCTTGTTTGATAGCTACCTTCAATGTTCAAAAAAAAAAAAAAAAAAAAACTACTTTCTTGAATTTTCAAAATTTGACCTTGAGTTTTTACTTTTTATTTTTTAAGAATTAAAAACTAAAAGTAGTTACCAAATAATATTTTAATTTTCTATTTACAAACAAGTGAAAACTGAAAGCTAAAAACAAAATAATTATCAAAATGCCCGTAGTTAATTAACTGATACAAATAAATAGACTGTTTGTTTAGTCAAGCCTTCAAACCACATCTAAAAGGTTCAACTTGATAGACAAATGAACAAAGGGGCCATATGTGCCAATTTATAATTGTATGGTTGGTTTTTTTTTTTAGATTGTTACTAAACCTGAACCCTAGGGTGCAAAGTGTAAATCAATACAGTTTTTAATTAGGTCAACTGAGAGTTTAATTGGATCAAATAAAACGTAGATTAGGCAAAATCGATGCTTCGTCCTTTTTTCACATAAGCTTCCTTATTAAGCTTGACCGATCAGTGATTACACTACCCCAGGGTGATACAACGCAAGCTCTACGTCTTCCTCAATGTTGCAGTAATGGTGCATTTCTTATTACAATCAATTACAACATCAACAACCACTTTCCTTTTACAACTTCCCTAATATAGTAACCAGGTAGCTTATCCTCTAGGCCACCGACTAACTAACTGCCTAACAACCTCATCTGATAAACCAACCCCTAATTCCTCCTAATCAGCATTGCCACATCACCAATTCAACGTGTTGAGTCAGCAAGTACACAGAATCCTATCAAAGGGAAGCCTCGAGTGTTGTGAATAAGTGGAGTTTTAAGCCACTTAGTATTACGATGTATTGATATTCATCTTCATTTGTAAGTGAAAGGTTTTAAGTTTGATTCTCGTAAAAAGTAAATTTGAATGACATTATTGCTAACCCATTGTGAGGCTAAGACCATCCCCTCATTGTAGGTAATATCGTTTGTTTAAAAAAAAGGTGGAGTTTTAAAGTCGACGGCTGAATTTCTTCAAAAGTTCAACTAATCCATATTCAACTTGACAATTGATCTAATACTTTGAGATCGTTAGATGATGTTTACGTGCCATGCAAATCCCATGTTATCACAACAAAAGTGTTGTCGGTGGTCCATTTAATCAAGTTGACTAAACTAATCACATGGATTTTCTTCTCTTTTTGCTAGCAAAATCATATGGATATTTACTATTAGGTAGCTATTTCCAGTGCTATTACAACTGAGCCCTCTATATGTCCTTAATATAATATACAGTACAAGGGGTATATTTAGACTGTCATGCCTTATATTATCTACCAGGCTTAGTGGTTGAGCACAGCTGCTGGGACACCACAGGGACAGACAGTGGCAGGGACTACTTACAAAATTATGGTTGCACCGGCTAATTATGAGTATTTGTCAAATGGGGTTTGATTTTTGCACCATTTCATTAATCATGGTTCGTAGAAATTAGTCCACAACTTAAGCATCCAACTGCATGCATTTATGTAATTGTGTTCTCCCTGAACTACAGTTCTGTACTCCAATGCCTGCTTGCATCACTATAAATATTCAATGCTCGTGACCGAAGTTTATCAAACCAAACAGTTCACGATCCCCGCTTCCTATATATCGATCTCTCTTTAACTTATTTGTTATTTGGGGAAACATGGGGAAGTATTCTAAGTATGTTGGGTTGTTTGCTGTGATGTTTGTAGTGGTGCTAGCAATAGTTGAGTGTCGTAAGATTGAGAAAGAAACATTTTCAGAAGGCCTAGGAGGTGGTTTGGGTGGTGGGGCTGGCGGAGGTGGTGGAATTGGAGGTGGAGGTGGTGCTGGGGGTGGTGCAGGAGGTGGAGTTGGTGGTGGAAGTGGAGGTGGTGTTGGTGGGGGAGGTGGCAAAGGTGGTGGCGTAGGAGGTGGATCCGGGGGTGGTGCTGGAGGTGGAAGTGGAGGTGGTGTTGGTGGTGGCAAAGGCGGCGGTGTAGGAGGTGGATCTGGGGGTGGTGTTGGAGGAGGAGCTGGCGGAGGAGGTGGTGTTGGAGGCGGAGCTGGTGGGGGAGGTGGTGTTGGAGGCGGTGTTGGTGGTGGAAGAGGGGGTGGTGTTGGAGGCGGAGTTGGTGGTGGAAGAGGAGGTGGTGTAGGCGGAGGTGTTGGCGGGGGCAAAGGTGGGCGAGGTGGTGTTGGCGAAGGTGCTGGTGGAGGCAAAGGTGGCGGAGGTGGTGTAGGCGGAGGTGCTGGCGGGGGAGGTGGTGTAGGTGGAGGTGCTGGCGGGGGCAAAGGTGGGGGAGGTGGTGTCGGTGGAGGTGCTGGTGGAGACAAAGGTGGGGGAGGTGGTGTAGGCGGAGGTGTTGGTGGAGGCATTGGGGGCGGCAGAGGTGGTGGTGCTGGAGGAGGAGTTGGCGGTGGAGGTGGTGTAGGTGGAGGTGCCGGTGGAGGCAAAGGTGGGGGAGGTGGTGTAGGCGGAGGTGCTGGCGGGGGCAAAGGTGGGGGAGGTGGTGTTGGTGGAGGTGCTGGTGGAGGCAAAGGTGGCGGAGGTGGTGTAGGCGGAGGTGCTGGTGGAGGCATTGGGGGCGGCATAGGTGGTGGTGTTGGAGGAGGAGTTGGCGGTGGAGGCAAAGGTGGGGGAGGTGGTGTAGGTGGAGGTGCTGGTGGAGGCATTGGGGGCGGTAGAGGTGGTGGTGCTGGAGGAGGAGTTGGCGGCGGAGGTGGTTCTGGAGGAGGAGTTGGCGGTGGAGGTGGTGTAGGTGGAGGTGCTGGTGGAGGTTTTGGGGGTGGTGTAGGTGGTGGTGTTGGAGGAGTTGGCGGCGGAGGTGGTGCCGGTGGAGGTGCTGGTGGAGGCTTTGGTGGTGGTGCAGGTGGTGGTGTTGGAGGAGGAGTTGGTGGCGGTGTTGGTGGAGGAATTGGTGGTGGATATTAACTCCCAATTGCAGCTATAGGCTACGCCATCATGCAAAGTCGTGTCAGATTACTTGCATGGAAATTGTATTACCTTTTACTACTAGAGAATAAATGAAGATCTGTAACGTGCCATATATAGGTACTACCTTTTATTTACTTCTTCCATGCAAACACTGTGTTCTCAATATGTCTAACTTTGGCACAAACGAATACGAAGAAAGGCATGCAAGAAGCAAATAATCCGTAAAATTAATGGAAAGATCAACTTTCTCATTATTAAACAACAAATTAAGTTTGAACAGTTGCCGACATTGTACAATTTTTAAGTGGTTTGGTAATTCTATCCAAATTCACCTAATAATTAAGCACAAATGCTATCCAAATTCAACACATAAGAGAGAAATTTTATTTTTCTAGACATGCGGTTGTCGGTCAGATTGTAGCCTTGATTGGATTCGGACAGAAACATATATTATCTAAATATGTAATTTTGATTAATACAACAACATGCAGTTTTACATTCGTAGGGAAAGAAAATTATTAATCAAACATATGATTGCCTCTTGCATTCATCATTGATGTAACTCGGCCCCCGGCTAACGATCGATGAACATTAATTAATTCAAAGCCAAACTGGCAGCCATTCCTTGCCGTTGATGAAGTCGATAGACAAGAAGGGTGCAACTTCTTTTTCGGTGAGTTGTCTTGCCCATTCGGCACGCCCTGTAGCCTCTGCTCCTGGCCCTTTGCACTTGTACTCGGCATGGTATAGGTTTCTGCAGATTTCATTTCATGCACAAAAAATTAAATCATAAATTAAATCGGAATATTTTTAGATGCAAACATGTGTGTTTGATCAATTATTTGGGTGCATGTTTCTTACTCAGTTGTGCCGGAATAGCTCCAGTTGGTCCAACCTTGTGGCACGACGGTCTTGGAGAGGTACATGTTTGCGTAAATCACTCTGGAGAAAGCGCCCTTTGCCCTACCTAGGTACACACTGTCACCAACACCATAGAGCTTGCCTTTGTTAAAAACAAATCCACTGTTCTCCTTCTCAGTCTCCCTATTTTGAGCTGTCACGGACCCCTTGATCGACACCCTCTTGTCTCCAATGACAAAGACCTCGCAGCTCTGCATGGATGGATGCATCCATGATTAATTAATTAGTCTTATTCAATGCACCTTGATACATGCTGGCTGATCTTTTTAGAGCGCTAATAACAGTTTTCATAATTAATTAAGAAGGTGATTAAGTACTACATACGTGGAAGACAGATCTACCGCGTCCAAAGATGAAGTCAATGGAGCCCTGGATGTAGCAATTATCATAGTAATGTCTGCCTTTGTAATCGAAGAGGGTGTTATGGGTACTGTAAAATCCACAATGGTAGAATGCAACTTTGTCTGCAGCTACAAATGCTGCAACTGACTGGTTCTGGGAGGTGTAAGCCACACCGGTCGGGGCCTCATTCTGCAAAACATTGCATAATTTTATACATCTATTAGATCTACAGAATAATGTCATATTTATATATATGTGGATTAGGATCGGAGACACGCTTTTGACAATCATTTTGACATACGTTTTTGTAGAACCTACTCGTAATGTACATATACACAAAAAAGGGAATGAAGATGAACCTTGAAGCTGATCCCGAAGGCAATGAAATGGGAAGCTTCGACACTAAAAGTAGCAGATTCAACATTGTCCGAAGAGCTTTGGGACCAAACAATGGCTGACCTCCCCTTCCCATTTCCTCTCATGAATATATAGGGCTTATTACGTGGTATGATCACCTTTTCTCTGGCAGCCAAAACATATAATGTAAATAACATAATTAAACTTGTTAATTATTCATGATGTATAGCTAATTTTGCTTTCATTTCACAATTAACAAAGTGAATCATTGATGGTTAAATTACCTGTACACTCCTTTCCTAACATGGATGATGATCCACTGCTTATTGCCTTCAGGAACAGCATCAATGGCTGCTTGAACAGATGTGAAATCTCCCTTGCCATTGATGTCAACCTTAAGCGTGCGGTTCGTGTGAATCTTCTGAGTCAATAAGGGTGAATCAATGACCTTTTGCGCTGTCAAGCAATGAACAACATTCGTGAGAGTTACGTAGGTGAAAAAAATGATTGCAAAGGTTATGAATGTTGTGGACGAAGACCAAGCCATGTTTCTAGGGAGAAACACAATCTGCAGTTTGGGTGAATTAATAATGTTCACCTAGGGGGATGTTTTTTGTGAGGCAATGAGGTTCTCAACGTGAAGGGTTTTTTTTTAAAATTTTTTTATTATTCATTTACGGGTGCGGTTATTTGGAAAAATTGAGCGTACATGACAAATCGAAGCTGGAAGTTAATTGGCTAACAAGATTCTATCTATTTTAGAGAGCCTTCCGTTGGTTAAAGCTCAACTTTCTTTGATTTTCACGAGTAATTCAGGCAGTCGGTTAATGCGCATTCTAAAATAAGAAGAGAGAGACACAAACTAGTAGACTCCGCTACATATGAGTTTAAACCCTATAATAAGTGTTTCAGAGGAACTTTGTTTATGTTTAAAATTTTGTTGTGTAGTTCCAATACACGTGTCTTAAAATTTAATAAAGAAAATATATTTTCACTTTTAATATTATGTCATTCTTTGAGCGTTTGTAGTGTAATATCATGATGATGACGTAGTATGATTCTGCTACAAATTTTTCTTCTTTGTGTTTTAGCGTCACAAATAGTATGGACACACTAATGGTACACAAAATGTTTGATGTTACATGCACGTCCAACAATGAATGGTATAGCGTGACTACGTACGGGGTTTATTTGGGTGATAGGTTAATGGGCTCGCGTAAACCGTTTTTACATTCTACACATTTTTTATTAAATTATATCATTTGAATCCTTCAATTCATTCGATTTGATAATTCAAAAATTGAGAGAATACGTAAAAGATAAAAATGAATGTGTAGACAGCACCATCAGTTTTTATTGCGTCAACAAATCTCCAAGCACCCTAAGTTGATTTTTGTTTATCTGCTATCGAAGTAGAATACATACATACATATATATATATATCCCAGTCCTACTATCGTGATCGTTTATAAAAGAAGATAACATTGGAAAAATGCTTAAAGCTTATATGTCTGTATATATGTGTGTGTAGACGGTCCGGCATAAAACATTAAGAATGACAGTTTTGCATAATGGTTCTGGTAGTTTTTCCGGACTTTCACTCAACTAGTTAGGTAATTTATTGACTTCTGCATTTTCATCCTTGTAGTTTCGTTTTGTTCCACTTTGTTCAATTCGTTAACTAATTAGTTGATGCTTTCATCCATTTTGTGAATAATATAATGGATGCAGTGTGACAGAGTGAAGATCAAACAACTTTAATCTTAAAGAATAAGAACACTGAAATCCATCACAAAGTATGAGAAAATCTCAAAAGTTTAATATTGCATAATTACTAAGATACCAAACTTAAAACCAAAACATTCTATTTATAATGTAACTTAACCCTAATAAAACACGTTCTCCAAAAAAAAGAGGGAGTTTTAACGAAAAACTTACGATATTGTTCATTTTAATGAAAAACCGTATTTTTATACTAAAAAGTCAAACCTGGTACCATTCACTTTATCTTTTATTTTGTCCTTATCATTAAAACTCAAAGTTTTCAAGCCATTTTCATTAGTTTTCCTAAAAAAAAGACCCCTAATAAAATACCAAAAACATCCTTGAATGTAAATAATACATTTTGGCCTAAAACGTCTTGAAGGTCCTTAAAACCCTAATATAAACTGTTTGTACCATACTTAGGGCCTCCGTATTTAGACCTCGTATAAATACTCGGGGGACTTAAATGTAATTATGTAATGAAGGAAGGGGCAAATATGTAAAAAGGGGAGGAGCCCTTATTCTATAAAAGGGTCTCTTCACCCTTACAATCCGGAAGCCTTCTCACATCCCTTAAGCCTTAAGCTCTCTCTAAGCTCTCACTCTCATATTCAGAGCTATCTCTCCCTCAGAAATACAATAATCAGTGTGGACATAGCCCAAACATTGGGGTGAACCACGATACATCTTGTGTTATTTACATTTCTTGCAGATTCACGGTCGGATTTACGTTGTTCCAAGACCCCTCTGGTTTTGTGCATCAACATTTGGCGCCGTCTGTGGGAATCGACACAAAAAACTATGTCGGTTCTCTTTCATTTTTTTTCACCTTCGCCGTAAATCTGCGCCAGCTTTCACCTTCTGATTTCTATCAGGACCAGGAGAAAGAAGAAAAATAATGTGTGGGTCTCAGCCACACACCACCTAAACGCACATTTTTTCTCTTCTCTGCTTTGAAGTTTTTTTTTTTAAAAAAAAATGGCTGCTTTGCGTCTCGGCGGCGGGTGCATTGGCTCCTCCACTCGGTGATGAGTGTCACTCTTCCAACAACAGATTTGGACAAGGCTTTTATTAATTCCTGGTTTCACCCTTCAGCATGAAATCAGGGCCAAAGGATGGCTGACACTCTATTATGCCTATTTGTTTGAAAGGCAAAGAAGCCTCACATTTTTGCATGTTTCCAAAGGTGAAGGCAGCAAACTGCATTAAAGGGAGCGCAAGCCCTCAAGAGAGCCTAAGCCCACCAGAGAGAGAAACTGACCTAAGCTGGAGAACAAACGCATCATATTTAGAGCCTCTCTTTCCTTTTTCCACACAAACAAACAGAGCAAAACATAGAGCGAGAAGACTAAAGGAAACGACAGCCATGGGGAGTGATTTCAACAGCACCTCTACTTTCGACTCCTTCGTCAAGACTCCCACGATAAAATGCACCCAGTTGTTCATCAAAGGCGAACCCCTTAATCAATGACAAACTCCTTGATTCCGTTCCAACGTGGACCTCTACAGCTCATTCTTCACCATGATCACCTTTGGACGGCCACCCAGATTCCGACACCATGATCTCCACCTTACGGTGGCCAAGTCCCAATGAATCAATGGCAGATTGATCACGCATATATTTCATGCATTTATATCATCAATTTCTAAAGTCTTTGTGATGTTTTCGTGTTAAAATTGTGGCATTTTACCTTATCTTGTGTTAATGTGCAGTTAAATTTATTTTAGGATCACTTTCAAGTAAAATAGAGAAAAGGAATTAATAAAAACAAATAAGAGAAATGGAAGTGGAGCTTGTCTCCACGGGGTGATGTTTTGAAAGGATGATTGCCTTATTGTTTAAAGCAAAAGCTGGCAGACAATGAAGAGTGAAAGGAAAAGAATAAAAGAATATCAAAGGCAGCAGAAAGTGGGTTGATGGAAGACACGGCATAAAGGATAGACAGTGAGGATGGCACAAGGATGGATAGAATAATAAAAAGAGAGAAGTGGGAGAGCACGGAAGAAAAAGATAAAAGAAAAGAATTGAAAGTGGAAGGCAGCAAGCGTGGAGAGAGGAAGAGGGACTGAGATAAATGAATAAGGAGAGACACGGGCAGAGGGGAATAAGTGGAGTGCGCAAACAGAGAGCAGGGCAGACCAGGAGAAAACGTGACTGGCAGGGAAAAGAGAGGGAGAGCAGTGGTGAGACGGAAGAGAGAGAGGCACGTACTGCGCAGTGCAGGGGAGAAAAAGAAAAGCAGAGAAGGAACCAAGAACCAAAAAACGGGTGTTTTTTCTTTCTTGTTATTTTTTATGGATAATTTCTTATGTATGAACATAATTATGTGTAACTAATTTATTATGCTAGAGTGAGGCCATGAGCCGCAACATGAATACGTAGTTTTAATTTTCAATTGCTTAAGTGTTGTTATATGCTTGCTTTGATATTTTCAATCACTAAATTAAACTATCTATGTATCTTGATGCTTGAACACCATTAGGATGCTTAGAAAAGTTATCGGATGCAATTTTGAACGAATGTCACGTTAAAATTGGTTGTGCTTCTTATGATTGAGAATTATACTCTCCTAAGGTAAATATCATGCTCTTAGGGATTATATGGTTTAACAAAAGGATTTTCACCAAGATTAATGAATCACTCATGTTTATATTTAATCCAAATGTCATGGATAAGTTGCATGTAGTGGTATGCGTTTTAGCTTGAATGTCACAAGTAAAATATACACAAGGAAAATCCAACCTTCAAAGCATGTGTGTTTTCAATTATTTAAGCAATTGGAATAGCTACGTAGAAGTGTTGTTGGTAAAGGTTGAACTCTAGCATATTGTCAATTTATTTTTCTTCAATCATTTATTTTATCTTGAATTTCCTTATTTGCTTGTTTTGTTTAAGTTGAATCATTATTCCTATAAATCAATTCCTATTTAGATATTTGTTTAATTCACACCCAGTAATATTTAGTTTCGTCAAATTAGTGTAATTCTTAGAGTTAAATAAGTTAAATACACAAAAACTCGTAAATTGTTTATATCAGTCCCTGAGGAGATCGACCTTGCTTGAGCCATTCTATACTACAAACACTTGTTCTCTTGCAAGAATTTTCTATGGTTTAACCCTTTGTTTTACAAGTGGTAAAATCACTATCAAGAAATTGGCGCCGTTGCCGGGGACTGTGCCAACAGTTCCCGAGTTTTTGTGTTTATTTTTCTTATACTTATGTTTATGTCTTATTTTTATTAATCATTAAAAAAAAATTAATTTAAAAAAAAAAAAATTATTTAAAGAATCCTTCTTGATTAACTTTGGTACCGTAATAATGTTGTATATTTGCGTTAGAAATCTGTTTATGTATCCCTTTCACAAATTTCTGTTTTAAACCACATATTATTAAAAAAAAAAAAATTATTATATTAAAGTTAAAAAAAAAAAAATTATTTAAAATTAAAAAAAAAAAAAACAGCTATTAATTTAGTGAGTTTTGATCTTTTATTAAGTGTAGTGGATGTGTGGTGTGAGATTTTTGTTTTCAATTAACTAGTGGTTGCCAATTTGCATAATTTGTGTTTTTAATTCATCTAGGTTTACTTACTTTCTTTTTCTTTTTGTTTTTGTTGTTTAGTTAGTTTCTGTTAAGTTTTATTTTATTTTACTTTTATTTTTTATTGTGGCTTAATATTTCTATTGTTTGTTCAGGTGTAGTATATGGTGATTGGAACAAGGTCCAAGAATCAAGTGCTTATTCCTTATGACCCTGAACCAGAGAGAAGTGCAAGGAAGTTAGCTAGAGAAAAATATTTAGCACAAGATTCCAACCTTGGTGATACTTTTCTTAAGGATTTGTTCCGTGATCCTGAGAGCGGCACATCTATTTTTCCAACCTTTGATACCAGTTGCACACATGGCCCTAGCCTTACCTGCAGCAGGTCAACCTTTAAGGAATTCATTGGCGGCGAGAATCAATGCAGTGCCGAGGTGCATTATATATCCAGATGTGGAAGATGGGACATCCTTTGAAATCAAACCTCACATCCTCAACATATTGCCCTCCTTTCATGGGTTGCCAAACAGTGATCCCAACATGCATTTGGTTGATTTTATTGAGGCATGTGACAACACCATAATCAGAGGTTTCTCTTCTGAAGCTATCAAGTTACGTTTGTTCCCGTTCTCTTTGAAGGACAAAGCCAAGGCATGGCTGCATTCTCTGCCTGCCAATAGCATTACAACATGGATAGAATTGCAAGACAAATTTCTCAATAAGTTTTTTCCTTCTTCCAAGACGCTTGCACTCAAGAAAGAGATATTGGCTTTCGCTCAAAAGCCGAACGAGTCTTTCCATGAAGCTTGGGAACGGTATAATGAGATGTACACAAAATGTCCTCATGCTGGGTTTGATTCTAACCTTCAAATGAACATATTTTATGATGGTCTCAATGCCACCACCAAGAGTCACGTGAATGCATCTGCTGGAGGGTCATTAATGTCAAAATCAGCAAGGGAAGCATTTGAGTTGTTTGATATGATGGCTTCTGAATCCCAACAATGGACAGAAGAACAAACACAAAAGAGGGGAGTTTTTGAGATTTCTCACAGTTATCCTAATGTTTCAGCTCAAATTGCTAAAATGGAAAATAATTTTAATGCCAAATTTGCTGCCTTAATGCAGGTATCTTCCATGCCCAATGCCCAAGAAGCGTGCATCATTTGTAGTGCAACAACTCATGACATCACTCAATGCCCCAACAAGGATAGCTATCCTGAGCTTGTGCAAGAGCATGTGAATATGGTGAATAATTTCACTAGACCCAGAAGTGACCCTTATTCCAATACATATAATCCTGGGTGGAAGAACCATCCCAATCTCAGTTGGGGTGGCAACCAACAGCCACGTCAATACCAACAGTCTTACCAATCAACTAGTGAGACTAAGAAACCATCTCTTGAAGACCAAATGTCACAGCTAGCTCAACATATGTCCGCTCTCTCTACTAGCACCAACAGTTTTGTCCAATCCACACAAACTAGCATTCAGAATCTCACGGCATCAGTGGGGAATTTGGAGACTCAAGTTGGACAACTTGCTACCATGTTCAATGAAAGAGAGAAAGGAAAGTTTCCAAGCCAATCTGAGCAAAATCCAAGAGGGATGGAGCATTGCAAAGTAATACGGACATTGAAAAGTGGCAAGAGCTATGACAACAGAGAAGTGGAGCACCATGAAGCCGAAGTGGAAGAAGAAGAGCTTACTGAAAGTGCACCATTAGCTGCAAAGTCTCGGTCAGAGGCTATTTCTGAAGCAAGTATTCCAGATCCTAGTGCAAGTGACAATGTGCAATCTCGACGCAACTCTGATGCAAACAAGGAAAAAGGCCTTGGTATTTTATTTGCACCTTCTGACAAGCCACCATACAAGCCACCTTTGCCATTTCCACAAAGGCAGCAACAATGTTCCAAGGATCAACAATGCATTGAATTCATGAAGACGTTGGCTAAGGTTCAAATTAATTTGCCTCTATTAGATGCTATTAAACAGATCCCATCATATGCCAAATTTCTGAAGGAGCTATGTTCTAAAAAGAAAAAGTTCTTGGAATACGAGAAGGTGATTTTATCTGAGCAATGCAGTGCTGTCATCTTACATAAGCTACCACCCAAGAAGAAAGATCCGGGGAGTTTCACTATCTCTTGTACTATTGGTAGTCTTGATTTTCATAAAGTATTGATTGATTTAGGAGCAAGTGTTAACCTTATGCCTTATTCTGTTTTTCAAAAATTAGGTGAAGGAGAACTCAAGCCCACATCTGTGAGTCTTCAATTGGCAGATAGGTCCGTGACCTATCCTTTGGGTATTTTGGAAGATGTGATTATTAAGGTGGATAAATTCTATCTCCCAGCTGATTTCTTTGTACTTGACATGGAGGAAGACAAGGAAGTGCCTCTCATTTTAGGCCGACCATTCATGGCCACCGCCCGGACACTTATTGATATGGAAGCAGGTACTTTAACCTTAAGAGTGCAAGGAGAGTCAGTTGTATTCAAACTTTTTGAAGCTGTCAAGCGTCCTTTCGAACCTGAAGAGTGTTTTCGTGTTGATGTTTTGGATGGGATTGTGCATGCAAACTTTGCCTCACGATCATCTAATGATGATCTGTTAACTTGCCTCACCAACCATGATGCTACTTTATCTATGGAAGAAAATGTGGTGGACGTCATCGCTGCATTGGATAGTGCACCAATTCATAATCCAAAGTGGCGACATGTTTATGAAAGCCTTGGAGAACCTAAGCAGCCCCTTCTTCCTTCAAGTGAGCAAGCTCCGAAGTTAGAGCTCAAGCTACTGCCGAGCCACCTCAAGTATGCTCATCTCGGGGTGAATGAGACCTTACTTGTTATTATTGCTGCTAATCTTAATGACACGGAGGAAGACAAATTACTAAGAGTTCTTCGCAAGTATCAAGATGCTCTGGGGTGGACACTTGCTGACATAAAAGGCATTAGTCCAGCTTTGTGCATGCATAGGATTTTTATGGAGGCTGGGACTAAACCAACTGTTGAAGCTCAAAGACGTCTAAATCCGATCATGAAGGAAGTCGTAAGAGTTGAGGTGATGAAGTTACTCGATGCAGGTATCATTTATCCAATCTCGGATAGCAAATGGGTGAGCCCGACTCAGGTGGTTCCAAAGAAAACTGGTATTACTGTGGTGAAGAATGATAACAACGAGCTTGTGCCTACAAGGATGACCACCGGATGGCGAATGTGTGTTGACTATAGAAAGCCCAATAACAGCACTAGAAAGGATCATTTTCCGCTGCCATTCATTGATCAGATGCTCGAGAGACTAGCTGGTCATTCTTTCTATTGTTTCTTAGATGGGTATTCAGGGTACAACCAAATTCCAATTGCCCCTGAGGATCAAGAGAAGACAACATTTACATGCGCTTTTGGTACATTTGCATACAAACGAATGCCATTTGGATTGTGCAATGCCCCTGCCACTTTCCAACGATGCATGATGAGTATTTTTTCTGGAATGGTTGAAAATATTGTTGAGGTTTTTATGGATGACTTTTCTGTTTTTGGTAATTCTTTTGATATATGTTTGGATAACTTGTCTTTGGTTTTGGAAAGATGCAGGGAGACTAATCTTGTGTTAAATTGGGAGAAATGCCATTTATGGTTAAGCATGGCATTGTGCTAGGACATCTAATTTCAAGCAAAGGAATAGAGGTCGACAAGGCAAAGATTGAGGTGATCGTCAAATTACCACCACCAACTTCTGTGAAGAATGTGAGATCTTTCTTGGGACATGCTGGTTTTTATCGAAGATTCATCAAGGATTTTTCCAAAATTAGTCGTCCTCTTTGTAATTTACTTGCTAAAGATGCTTGTTTTGATTTTAATGCAGATTGTCATGATGCTTTCAACAAATTGAAGGATCTTCTCACATCAGCCCCAATTATAACAGCTCCAGATTGGACCCTTCCTTTTGAGCTCATGTGCGATGCTTCCGATTACGCTGTGGGTGCTGTTCTTGGTCAGCGACGTGACAAGCTCCCCCATGTTATATATTATGCCAGCCGCACTTTGAATGATGCTCAGCTGAATTATGCCACTACAGAAAAAGAATTACTTGCAGTGGTATTTGCTCTTGAAAAGTTTCGATCGTACTTAGTTGGTGCTAAAGTCATTGTGTATTCTGATCATTCTGCTCTCAAATACTTATTGTCTAAAAAACAGGCCAAACCACGATTGCTTTGATGAGTCCTTCTCTTGCAAGAGTTTGATTTGGAGATCCTAGATAAAAAGGGACGTGAAAATGTTGTGGCGGATCATCTCTCAAGATTAGTAAATGCAAGCACTGATGAGGCAGATTCATTGCCCCTGCAAGAGAGCTTTCCAGACGAGCAACTTCTAGCAGTTACTCATCAAGTACCATGGTATGCTGACATCGCAAATTATTTGGCTTCTGGAGAAATACCATCAGAGTTCAGTTACCAACAAAGGAAGAAATTTCTCTCCACTGTAAAACACTACTTTTGGGATGAGCCATACCTTTTCAAGCATTGCCAAGATCAAATCATTCGTCGGTGTGTCCCCTTAGAAGAACAAGAAAGCATTTTGAAGTTTGCTCACCACTATGCATGTGGTGGTCATTTTGGACCAAGAAGGACAGCGGCCAAGATCTTACAGAGTGGTTTCTTTTGGCCATCGTTATTCAAAGATGCATACCTATGCTGCCAGGCTTGTGATAAGTGTCAACGAGTTGGAAATCTTTCTCAAAGAAATGAGATGCCCCAACAAAGTATTTTGGTGATTGAATTATTTGATGTTTGGGGTATAGACTTCATGGGACCTTTCCCTTCTTCACATGGCAATCTCTACATCTTGGTGGCGGTTGATTATGTTTCTAAGTGGGTGGAGGCAATAGCTTCTCCAACATGCAAAAGTTCTGTGGTGTTAGGTTTCTTGCAGAATACTATTTTTCCCCGATTTGGAGTACCTCGTGCTATCATCAGTGACGAAGGTACGCATTTCTTAAACCGCACCATGGCTACCCTTTGTGCCAAGTATCATATTCACCATCGCATAGCCACTCCATACCATCCACAGACATCTGGACAAGTTGAAGTATCTAATCGGGAGCTCAAGAGGATTCTTGAGAAAACTGTTAGTTCATCTCGAAAGGATTGGAGTTTAAAGCTTACAGATGCTTTGTGGGCATATAGGACAGCTTATAAGACACCAATTGGGATGTCTCCTTTTCGTTTGGTGTATGGGAAAGCTTGCCATCTACCTATGGAACTTGAGCACAAGGCATATTGGGCCATTAAGCATCTCAATTTTGACTACCAAGCAGCGGGAGAGAAGCGGAAGTTGCAGTTGAATGAACTTGAAGAAATAAGGAATGATGCTTATGAGAATGCAAGGATTTACAAGGATAAGACCAAGAAATTTCATGATGCTCACATCCTTCGTAAAGAGTTTCAACCGGGCCAGAAGGTTTTACTTTTTAATTCAAGATTGAAACTATTCCCAGGAAAGCTCAAATCACGTTGGAATGGTCCATATCTTGTTGTACAGGTTCATCTTCATAGGGCTGTGGATATCCAAAACATGCAAACTGGTTTTGTCTTCAAAGTTAATGGACATCGCTTGAAGTTATACAAGGAGTCTCCATATGATCTTGCTAAGGATTCCATCACTTTGAAGGAACCTGTTATTTGAATCAAGCTGCCAACAGAATGTCTAGCTCTAGACAGTAACTAAAGCGCTTCTTGGGAGGCAACCCAAGCTTTCTATCTTTCATTTTTATTTTGAATAATTTTAAATGTTCTTGTTCTGTTTTTCTCTTGTTTTTTTGGTTTTTGTGTTTAAGTCCTACTTGTGTTCCTTTATGCAGGTAATGATTTTGCAATCTCTACCACAACTTCTTGCAACATTTTTTTTTTTCTTTTTCATTCATAAAAAAAAAAGGGAAAGGAACATTGAGCAGATAAATAAAAAAAATAAGCTTCGAATGAGGAGCTTTCACATAGGCTGCGAAGGAGGAGCTTCAGTAGTCGGCAGGGCCTCAGCAGTCGGCGGGGCCACAGAAGGAGGAGGTATCGGAGGTTGATCAGTTGGAGCTTCACTACGCGGTGCCGCCCCAGAAGACGAAGGCAGATGCTGTTGGAATAAACCCACAAACCTCCGATGATCAAGTAAAATCTGACCATCAGGTTCATGTATCTGGTCAATTTTCCTCTTCATGGTTGTGGCATAGTTGTGTGCAAGCTTGTGCAATTGTTTATTTTCATGCTTGAGTCCTCTAATCTCCTCTTTGAGACTCATTACTTCAGCCGCCAACGACTCAACTTGACGGGTTCGAGCAAAGAGGCGTTGGGCCATGTTAGACACAGAACCCGCACACTGCACGCTAAGTGCCAGAGACTCCTTCACAGCCAACTCATCAGATCGTCTAGAGAGCAGTCTGTTATCTCTAGGAGTGACAAGGTTCCGGGCCACCACCGCAGCTGTCATATCATTTTTCATCACCGAATCCCCCACGGTAAGGGGACCGGTAGGGGATATGAAGGATGGGCGCCATATGTTATCTGGTGAAGGCGGAGCTGCCTCTTCACCAAGATTCAAGTCAAAACGACGGTCGGAAGGGCCAGACATTTTTCAGAGGTGTTAAAGAAAGAAGAGGTCGAACAAGTCAAGATCGTAGAAATGCAAAGAGGGAGTTTTTGAAGGCAGAAATTCAAGTGTGCTTTGAACGTCCTGCATACCTCTATAAAAATCAGCACGCGATGGGATTTCGGTGATCGAAGAGGCAATTCCAAATTTCGAAGAGGCCAACTAAAAAAATCAAAAGAATCGCTAGCTTTCTCAAAAGCTGAGCTTGCTCAGAAACCACGGGTCATCCTTTGTTCCAGATTTGTCCGTACTCGTCACATGCAACCTCTGCACTCGACGGAGCTCAGATTTCGAAGAGGCAAGCTCGGAAATCGGAGAGGAATCTGCTTTTCCAGACGTGTCAGCATCTCTCACACTACTGCTCTCCTCGCTTACACAAATTGGTGTGTTCTTTCCTTTTCTTTTTGTGTCTTTATTTCATTTTATATTTCTTTCCTTCCATTTTTATGTCTTATTGTTAAAAAATTCCTTTCATTATCATTGGGGACAATGCTATAATTAAGTTTGGGGGTGGAAATATATTTCGTTAGTTTATTTATTAAATTTTAAAAATAAAAAAAAAAAAAAAAGTTTTTGCATTTTTATTGTTGTTTGTAGCTACTTCTCAATTCAATGATGAGATTTG